GGGGGGGGGGGTACAAGTCTTTCCCCTAGATCCGCCACTGTCATCAACCTCAAGATATGAAAGCTTTTCAAGCAGTTGTGAATGATTAACGGTGTCAAATGCTTTGGCAAGGTCCAGGAACACAGCCCCGGACAGACAACCATTGTCCATGGAGTGAAGGATCTGATCAGGAAACTTAGAAGCGGTAGTAACAGTAGATGAGTTTAGTCTTAAACCGAACTGATTGGGCGAAATCAAATTATTCTCTGTTAAATAGGTGTAAAGTTGAGGGTGAACCGCCTTCTCCAAGATTTCGTCAACTGTGGGAAGAAATGAAATCGGCCTGTAACATCCTGTTTCCCGCCCTTCTCTCCTATTCTTTAGCTCGCCATTTTTCGCACTGCGCCCCAACTAACTGAACCCTGGAAGAGGCTACTATACAGGGGGCCACCATGGCCCGTCCGTATGTAGTCCTTCTCTAAAATCCTGTATCCGCCCCAGGGAAATTGAGCAATAAAAACAAAGCACGTGCAATCTGAGGTATCACTCCGATTGTCACGTGGCATCTCAGATCAAGAGTTAAAAGAAGAGCGCACTGTCACTGAAATAAGCGATTTGCATGATGGCGTTATTTGACTATAACTACCAGAATTCTTCACTCTCGGGAGTCTGTTTGTTATATATGCTAATTAGGACAATTGTTATCTTACCTCTGCTGAAGGCTTCAAAATTTAAAAATCAAGGAAGAAAATACATAAATTTAATTGTGGTACTAGCTTGAAGATCGAGTAAAAGCAAACTCGCGCACATCAGGAGCCCATTACTCCTGCGTACATCCAGAACTGGTCCACACACCTAACCCATCCTTGTTTCCGTCTACCTCGATGGACTAATTCCTGATCTATCAGCCTGGATGGGACATCGTGTCCGATGTTGTGTGTTTCTCAGAGACGAGAATGTTTCTCCGTTACCCCACCCAACCGGGATATTCCTAGAGAGATCGAGAGACTGGACTCTAGTGTCACGGTAATGGCGGCCTACATGTGATTTTCTGTGGAAGCCGTTGTCGCTGGTTTATAAAGGTAAGAGAGTATAAGCTAAACTATAGGGTAAGTAGTATGAGTATGAGTAAATGTACTAAGTAAAGTATAAGCTTGCTAAAGAATACAGCTTCACCTCTTTTCTTCTTTCTGAATGTAAAGGAAAACAGATATAGTGATTGTGTGCGGTCCTTGTGTTTTATGTTCGTGCTATAAAAGGAAGACCCAAGGTCCCTGTATCTTGATACAACGGACTAAAGCTAGTTATTCTATGCTCGTTCTCTTCGCTCAGCCGAATAAATAACATTTCTGCTCTAAGTAGAGGAGACAAATAATACAACAAACTAGAGTGGAGGTAACCGTCAGCAATCGAATGTATTTGTTAACTAATAAGAAGTTGAGACATGTACACGCTGATAACGATATTGTGGAGGCACCGTGGCCTAATGGTTAGCACGGTAGACTCTGGATTGAGTAATCCCAATTCAAGCTTTGGNAAAGGAAGACCCAAGGTCCCTGTATCTTGATACAACGGACTAAAGCTAGTTATTCTATGCTCGTTCTCTTCGCTCAGCCGAATAAATAACATTTCTGCTCTAAGTAGAGGAGACAAATAATACAACAAACTAGAGTGGAGGTAACCGTCAGCAATCGAATGTATTTGTTAACTAATAAGAAGTTGAGACATGTACACGCTGATAACGATATTGTGGAGGCACCGTGGCCTAATGGTTAGCACGGTAGACTCTGGATTGAGTAATCCCAATTCAAGCTTTGGCTCCAGGGGCCATTGATTTGAATTCTTGGACAAAACACCAGGCCATAGCTAGCTAGAGGCAAGACAAGGCACTTGCCTCTTGCAGATTTTATCCAACAATTCTTTTTTTAAAAAGTACTATTAGTTGGAAAAATGGATTCAGAGTGTCAATTGGCTCATACGAATCGATGAAAAATTAGTTGAATCTCGACTGACTGTCCACCGAGATGTCGATGTAGTATTGATCAAGTGTTAACTGAGAAGTCGATAGAGTGTCAATCAAGTATTGATTGAGGGTCAGTCGAGGTTATTGATCGAACGTATCGATCGACACTCGACCGCAGATGTTTTTAGCACACACGATCCGTAATTTTTGTCATCATGCATCTGACACGTCAAACACTAGCTATGCAGGCACAAGCACTATATCGGGTAAACAAGACTAGAGTGACTGTATTTGTACCACCAAGGAGGAGGAGGTGTCTGAAAGGAAATTGATAAACAACAATTCTAATTTTCACCAGAATTTCTAATTTTTTTCGTGGGTCATGGGGAGATACACCCCCCACCTCACAGCCCTGTAGAGGCTTGCACCTTAGGCACTTGCAAGACTTGTCGTGTTTGTGTTTAAAGTCTGCCTTCAGTTCTGAGACACTTTGCTCTTACAATACTTTTCTCCACCCAGGTTTAAAATTGGTACTGTTAAATGTTCTACCTGGGGGGTAACTCTGCATTGGACTAGTATCCCATTCAGGGGTAGCAGAAATACTTATTGTCTTTTGACGAGTGGAAAGTAGGAAAAGCATTAGTGGAATAGACCACTTAGAATGACGCAAACATTACCTTTGCCAATTTGTCAGTTAAGTGGGATGACAATGACATGGAGCGGCTTATGAGTTAAATATAAACTTGAATTTCCTATAACTGCTGACATGGTGATATAATTTTACTCCCTATAGGGAAGTAATGGAGACTAGATTCTTGTACTTAAAATCAGTGAAAAGTGCTGAACATGTGGGGCTGCAAATTTTAGAAAGTAGTTTAAACAATTCTAATAAAGTCAATACTTAATCTGTGTTTTCCAAAGATGAAAACTCTGAGTGATTAGCCTGTTCAACTTCATAACTAATAAGGAAACAAAAGTCTCCACATATTATATTTAGTATTAAAATTAATGTCCATATATTATATTTAGACAAACTGGAGCAAGGACAGACTTAAATTTATAAACCACAAGGTGATATACTTGTGGCCAGTTGACAGAAAGCTTAACTTGCATATTTGATCAATAATATTGATCTGAAATTCATCAGAAAATTATGAGGAGGGCAACCCTAAAACCAGGAATCTGGAACTGGAATCTGGAACTGGAATCTGGAAC